AAAAAAAAAAAAGAAAGAAAGAAAGACGCTGTGATGGTTACCCGTTGCCGCATGCATGCATGCAAAAAGAATATCACATTTTCATTTCTGGAAATTTTCTTAATAATAAAAGAAACGGACCTCTTCATCCGATGAAGTTTTCTAATGTTACCCAGTAAATCTGAATTAATATTACATTTATTTAGGTTTAAATAAATTGATCCAGCAAAGTATAAAAGTTATTTATAATTCTTTTTAATTAAATCACCGTTGGTGACACGTTTCATTAATAATAAAATGAATAGCGTACTGTTCACTTCTAATCAATTAAAAGCAACGAAAAAAAGTTGTTTCATTCTAAGTCGAGGTGTCACACATGCATGAAATACCAAATTTCATACTATCTAGTTTAAAGTTGTAGATAAGCTTCGTTAAAAGAATTGAAAAAGATGTAACAATCCAAATAAGAATAAGAATTCCTATTATTATTATTATTATTATTTTTAATATCCAAGCATTCACTTTACAGTGACTAAATCCTGAAATCTACACCTTGTCCCCTTAAGCTGCAGACAGGTTAAACCGCAAGTTATGTCTCAAACTGATCAATGCTCAAGAGCCCACCCAACTGATCTGTCAAAGTGTCAAACAAGTCGTTTCCCATCTTTGCATCTTGTCTTTCAGTAGAGCTGCTGCCTTCCAGGATAAATCCTGACTTCCAGGAGAATATTTGCCTTCCAAGAGCCTTCCAGGAATCGAACTCACGACTTCTGATCCGTCAGTCTTGAAGCGCCCTCATCTTTACCAGTTGGGATGTGCTCTGGAGGGCAAGAATTCCCATTATTAATTGAAAGTAAAATGGTTTCTTCTTCTCCCTTTTTTCCCATATATTATCATTTATACTTAAACTTTGCATTCCCCAAGAGTACAAACCCAGAAGAAAATGGAAATAGTAAATATGAACACTGTAACATGATTTAAATCTAAATTTACATTGAAGGTTGATTCTAACTTACTAAATGCAGAGTTTCTTCAAAAATTAATTTATACCCATAAAAAATTACAGAAAATTGGTAAGATAAAAAGGAGTACTTAAGGTCTACTTTAAACTGAAATTAATTAACTAAACACGAAAAAATATATAAAACACAATGAGTAAACATAAAGTCAGCATGATAAAGAAGCTTTTACTACAAGAAAATTCAAGAAAAAGTGACTCCATAAAGTAAACTTCACTACAACGGAGAGGAAATTACCAGCAATCAATTATTACAGAATTGTAATTTTGCTTTCTTATTCATCAGCAAAATGTACAATTATATGATACATAGAACATTAATTAAAAGCAAACAAGAAAAAAGTTAATTTATAAAATATAACATAAACTGCATTACTTATATAGGAAGAAAAATTAGCCCTTTTCTTGATCACACACTGACACTACAGGTCTGTGAAAGCTGATACTTGATTGCATTTCCGACGACAATCCCAGTATTCCGGCTATATCCGAGAGGAATATACGCCGGACAGGTGACATGGAGATGGTACCTGCCGGAGACGAAGGACCCAACTCTCCATTTAACACGGCCATTGATCTTGATAATCAGCCAAATGGCTCCATTGGATTTATCCTGGCTGAGGGCAACGCCGTTGTATGGCGCCACCGGGACATTACTTCCGTAAACGAATGGCGACCAGATATTGATGTCCTTGTGGCCTTGGTACACCGGCGGAATGACGGTGTAGTAGGTAATTTGTTGGTTGTGGTAGGTGGCGTATACTTCCATTTTCTCGTAGTAAATGCCGATTCTGGAATTAGGGTTCCGGGAGTTGATGGTGACTTGAATGCTGGAAGAGATGATGTTCGGGGAGGAGACGTTGAGGCTGAAGATGGTGGCGTCTTGGAGGGTAAAGTGGGGTTTCTTGGGTTGGAGAATGGCCCAAATTAGGAGGATTATTACTAGGATGGTGAAGGTGAAGATTAGAAGGCCGGTGCAACATCGCCGGATTATTATCCGTCGCTCGCTATGGTCATCGGCACACTTCTCCTCCGTCATTTTTCAAGTGGTGGTGGCGGTGGCAAATGTGGTGGTGGAAGGTGGAGGTGAGGAGTTGATGAGTATTGTAGGAGAAACGGGGAGGAGGTGGTTTACATTTTATATAGGCTTAGAGTGGAGTCGAGAACTGCTGACCCTTGGGCGATGAAGTAAGTTGAATATAGTTTAGTGTTAATGCAATGACGAATCACAACCGTCCATGGTGATTAGCCTCTATGATCGGGGTCCACTTATCAGGATACCTACCTGATATTGGATTCTAGGGAAATGTGCATTCTATCCATCTATGTTTGATTTGAATTAAAATCTTAACTCAAAGTTAATAATAAATTTTAATAAAATATTTTATGAAATTCATAATTTTTTAAAC